GAGCCAAAGATGTTAGAATTGTGTCGATGTCCCAATATTTCTGGACCTGACTGTATTTTGGATCAGAGCTGGTAGGCAAAGAACCTCTCTAGAAGATAAAATATGGCTGTTTGAATTAAGTTCATCCCAGTAAGGAAACAGTTCCAAATAAATATTGCAATTAAAATCTATACTGCAGGGAAACATGAGAATAAATCTTGGATTAAATTCTCTGGCCACTGGGAACATTTTGTGAGCAACTTCTTCCTTTCTTTCCAAAGTGAACTGCTTGTCTCATAGATCTGGGAGAGAGGCCCTGCTGAGGTTCCCATCTCCCAAGAAATCCCACCTTCAGGGGACCTGGAGCAGGGCTTTTTCAAGGGTGCCGTTCTCCTATAGAAGCGTGGAAGTGCTTGCCCCGCATCTAAGAACTGTCTCCTCCCTACCGACTTTCCAAAGAGAGGTGAAAACTTGACTCTGAAAGAGAGCATCTAGGGGATGTTTTCTTTTATTATCTACCCCCACTAGTTAATGCTATTGTAATATATATTAATTACTGTATGTTTTGATGTTTTAAACCTTTATTTCTGTTGTATGCTATTCAGAGCCATTTTGGAGTAGAGTGTCATACTGATATTGGCAACAAATAAATAAATAAAACAAAAAGAAATGACTACCTTCATCAAATGCCAATTACTGGTTAGTCTGACATGGACTGCTACTAAAAACACGGCTGCAATGATGCTGACATGCTTTGGACACACGACAAAAATAAACAAAGAGAAATGAATACATTCTTTGAAATTGTCCCTAAAAACTTTGGGGTAAAAGTTTCTAAAAAGAAATTTAAACATCAGATGCAATGGTATTTTGTTCTACAGATAGTTTAGTAGCAACATGAAGCATTCTGAAACAGACAGTACTTAAGTACAGTATTTGCTTTTTCAACCTCTCTTCTTCCATCTAACACGGGAGCGGGGTGGGGTGGGGGCAGGAAAAGGGACTGAAAGGCTTTCATTTTACAAGCCTACCTCACAAGTCTCTCATCAGAATAGCTGAATTAATATAGATCAACCATGCAGAACACTTGAAATATATCTCATAGATCATTATCTGTTCTCTCAGGCTGATAAAGGATGGGGTGGGAGGGATGCTGTTATAGGACTGTTGTCCCTGGCAAGGAAGCTGTAAGGACGGAGGAGAAAACAGCTGAGCAAGACTTTCTGGTTACCTGACCTGATATTCCACCAGGTGCCCATTTTTAGTTGGGGTTACTGTAAGAGCCCCCGAGATAAAACGTGCCAAAGGCAGTGCAATAGTTTGCATGTATTTATTAATCTTACCCCCCATAACCCACCTGCCATTCTAAGTAAGGGCGGAAGGAGAAGGTGATCGAGCAGTGGCCTACCTAGCAAGGCAGTTGTACAGATTGCTGCAATTATTCATTGCCAGCCATTTCAATGGGTGAACAGAGGCCACCTGCCCCCTCATTCCTCAGTTGCCATCCCGTCTATCCTGCAGGAGGGAGCTAAAGGGGCCAAGACAGGACCCCCAGGACTTGCGGTCCACGTGTGTGCATGGAAAGAAGTGGCCAGCTTTGCACAGCTGGCAGGGCTGTTGTGAGGGAGCCCAAGAACAGGCAGGCAAGCGCTCGGAAAGGCTTCCAGCAACGCCCTTCTCTTCGCAGGGCAGAAAGAGAGGCTTATTCGAGCACTGGCCAACCTGGTGGGGCTGTTGTGCAAAACCAAAACAAAACAAAAACCACAACAAAACCAAAAAAACCCCCAAATGTGCTCCCAAACTTTCGACCCCCAGGACTTTCCCAGCAGGACCGCCCCCCCACCTCCGGTGCGATTCTAAGCTCTATTATCCCCAGCCCGTATCCCGGCTGGAGGATGACGGGAGCCGTAGCCCATCATGCGCGAAAGCCCCCGGCAGAGAACAGGCTGGGCCCACCACCGCTGCGTGTGCCTGCCACCGTTATAAAAAACCGGCCTACCTGGCAAGGCTGTTGTATAGAACGGCCGAGAGAGGAGGCTGCGAGTGCCCACCGGCACTCTGGGCACGCGAGGAGGGCTGCCTGACACCCGCCTCCTCCAGAGCGGCCCTTTCCCCCCTCCAAGTACCTGTACTGGGGCCCAGCGACGGCCCCGGCCGCAAACCCGTAGTAGTTACTGGCCGCCATCTTGGCGTTTCCTCAGAGCTGGGAGGGGAGGGGAGGAGGGGAAAACGGAGGCGCGCGGAGCACGCCGGGATCACGCGACGCGCAAGCCCTGCACGCGCCGGCCGGCCGGCCGGCAGACTCACGCGCTCCCCCAGCAACAGGCCCCGCCCATGCCCGACCCGCCGCTCCTCTCCATAGACTCGCAACGTGTAGAGGCGCTGCAGGGAGGGGACTTCCGGGCTCGTCGTGGGTAGCTTTTCTCCCGCCTTTAAGGCAGTGTTTCTCAGCCTCAGCCGCTTTAAGATGCGCGAACTTCAACTCCCACAATTCCCCAGCCAGCAGAGAAACACTGCCTTAACGGACCGCAAAATAAAAGCTTGATTCCGGGGGGCTTTGTCTGCTCATCCGTGGAGTTTTTGTGGTGACAGCCTGGAAGCGGGCTGCCCTTCCTGTCTTCTGAGAACGGAAGTTGTTCTGACTTGCCAGCCGTGAGATTTCCCGGTGGTCTCCCATTCAGGATCTAAGCGGGGCCCATCCTGCTTTGCTTGCAAGATCAGCCAAGTCGGCCTGACTTGGACGCTCTGTCCTATGCAGAAGCCCCCAAGCCCCTGAAGATCCTTCCCAGGCCGGGGCAGGCCACCTGAGGTCTTGGAGATGTCATCAATGCGAACCCCCATTGGCCCCAAGCCCCATTGCCAAGAGCAAGGAATTGTGGGGGCTGTTGTCCAAAAGGCCTGCAGGACCCCACATCGCTTGGTCCTGCTTTAGGTCATGCCTGTGAAAAACAGGTCCTAACAGCACTTAAACCCAGGGCCTCTGCACCATAGAGGTCAAGGTGACCCTCCCCATTTGGACAGCATGGCTGCAACTAACTTCTGCCTTCTTATTCCTATGCTAATTCCTTATTCCCGTGCTAATTTCTGCAAACTTCTCTTCACTGGCAGATTTCCTTTGTTTTTGTACGGAGACTGTTCTATTGATCCCACATAGGAATAAATGCTTGGGATGAGAGTATGACGATGCAGGGGAAGGGAAATATCCGAATGAACTTGTATTTTTGTATGCAGGGGTTGCGCTGCTGTAAACAGAGGGCTGATGATTTGCAGAGAATTTTCTAGAATGGGTGCTCCACAAGAAGGATGGATCTGAAAACTAACATATCAAAGACCAAGGTCAAGTTGCGCTTGACCAGAGAAATGGAGGGAATGATGGCAAGTTATAGGTGTAAATGGTGAAAAGCAAAGCAAGTAAATGAATTTTTCTTTTTCACAATGGTAGAATCTCTCCTACAAGCGGGGAGAAAGGAAAGGATGGAGAAATGTTAAGACGTGCCGGTGCTGGTAGCTAGGAGGTGGAAGGCATCCGGTGTGCTGCGAGTAATGGATGTTCATCAAAGGAAGCGAACCGGCTGCAAGCCGCTGTTTGTGTGGAACGGAGGGTTGGGTTGGGTTGGGCAGGGCAGGGCGGGAGAAACCTCCCCGGCAGTGGGAAGATGGAGGAGGAGGAAGCAGGGATGAAGGAAGGTGAGAGCAAGCGAGGAAGGAGTTGCAGAACAAGCCCAGGGGAATGGAAGGGGAGGTGGCAACCCTGGGAAAGGAAGGGAGATGTGGAGAAATGGCCATGGAAGCAGCGAGGGCCTAGTGTTTCTCAAACTTGGCAACTTCAAGATGTGTGGAATTCCCCTGCTGGCTGGGGGATTCTGGGAGTTGGAGTCCACACATCTTAAAGGTCCCAGGTGTGAGAAACACTGTCCTCGAGAGGCCCTACAAGCAGGGTCTTCCCTTGACATTTCATTTCTCTCTCCCTTTTACTTTTCAGCCCCTTCCCCCTGCTTTTTGTGCAATGCTCTAGAGAGGAAAGGGGGCAATGGGGATGAGGATGGAGGTCCGAGGCAGTGACATGAGGTTGGGAAGAGGTCATAACAACGCAACCGGCCAGACCTTCCACACGTGTCCATT